ACAACCATGCCAGAGTCCATTAACACACTAAAATGTGTTTTGTTTGTATTGTAGGACTGAGTTCAGGCCCTCAAGGCAGAGGTTTCAAGAAAGATTTGGATCTATTTTGATAGAAAAAGTCCACAGTGGCTCCAATCTGAATGTGTTATTTTTCACCTGTAAATTAAAGATCCCTTGTCTCTCKTCTGACTTTTCTTCCCCTGTCTTGACAACCGTCCACTTCAGACCCAGGTGTTTTGTTGCAAATTGACTACGTGCCATCCTGCGTTTAAAAATGTTAAATCGTGGCACAGCCTTATTCTGAGAGTGTTTTCTTGTACTGTGAGAACATTCTGGCCAAAGCCCAGTCTGTCATGTTTGAGACACACACAGAAGACTTTGCTGCATGCAAAGCAAAAAGTTATTTTTCATATCTAGTCTTGAAATAAAAAAGGGCAAACATTTTAGCAAGTAGAAATTCCACACTGGGAAAAAACAAATAAATAAACATTTGTCTAAACAGCAAGTCAAAATGGAGTTAAATGCCTGTGAGGCTGAACAGGACACTGAAGTGAGGGTCTGACATGTACAAGTGGAAAAACTGGAGGTTAAATACCACTGAGACTGATGGAGAAAGTARATGCAGGTGTGCTAATTGGAAACAGGGTAGCAGGTGTGGCAAGCTGGAGACAAGACAAAATAACTGGAGATCTCTGGTGAATGGAGATGACGGGGTGGGGGAAACTAAAAGCAAAGTTTAAGCTGAAATAAAACTAAAATTCATAACCAACAGCAAAGCCCATTATAATGTAGCTATGGCTGGAAGGCATCATGACCAAAGACAAAATGTAATCCTCCCAAAACAGATTATTACAGCAAATAAAAATAAATAAAAACATTTCCCGCCTTGGCTACCTTTTTTATAAGCCTAACAATGTATTGGAGTGTGAACTGCAGACTTTGGCTCAAATTGAATGAGCTTCAAACAGCAATCATTCACCCTGGGAGCCTTTCAGGCATGTGTTTATTTCTTAAACTGCGCTTCTATTATTTCAAATCAAAACATTGCCTCAGAATTTCATCTGGTCATTTCTTTTGAGGCCATCAAAACTTAATTAGATGAACAACTTTGATTTGCTAACAGAGGTCCTAAGGGAGATTGGTTCTTTTGTCAAACTAAGGTAGACTGAAAACACACAGCAGTCGCCATGAAAACAGTATGTCGAATGTGGACCGCAATGCCTTGACT